TTTTTTAAAGCCCTGGTTGTTGTAGAGACCGGACTCCGGACACACGGGGTTGCCGACACAGCTATTGGCTGTCCTGGCATTCTCTTATTCACCGTAAGACCACCTCCTTACCCATCCTCTCGGCAATTCTCCTAGCGCACCCCTATCCCTACCATCCTACCTCAGTATTACTACTCAGGACTATCACCATGGTATTTCAGAGGGCGACTTGGACCAGACAGTAGTTCTAGGCACCGAGGCTAGGCTGGACCAAGCGCGAAGCCTTGAGCCCCTCCCAGCCCCAGTTGAGGCACAGTCAAGCAAGCCACGTTACTCGGGTACATCGGGCGCCAGGCTCTAGTATTATGTCTGCTTCTCCTACCAACCCCCATTCTGGCATGTGTATACTATATATGTGTCCTGGCATGTTTTCCTTTCTACAGATGTCAGATACTGAGGCTGGACAGGGCCAAGCGTGAAGCCTTGAGCCCCAGCCAGCCCCAGTCATGTGTGTACGTGCTATCTGTTATTCATGGTTCTTGATACCGAGGCCACTGGCGGTTTAACTTCGCAACTCCTGAAATAGCTCCATATTCTTTTTGCTGCTATACAACAACAATTTTTTTTTTTTTTTTTTTTTTTTTTTTTTTTTAAACAAAGAATTGAAGGTTGAAGGTTGAAATACCAGGACCATTACCCGGCTTTGGCTCAGAAAAATTTGGGAGCTATTCAGAAGTGACTACGACAAACATTAGCACTAAACCAGATTCAAAAAACTGACTCAAGAAACCCACCTCATCAATCCTCTTTTCCTCACTCCGGCGAGACTTACTGCATCAGAGCCACCATCTCTGCTATACAACAACAAAAAGAACCGACAACAGAACATCCGTTAAAATTAGAACATAAGGGCCAACCGCCACAATCCGTGATATAGTAGTCACTTGCCACGCATCTATATCACGGATAGTTGCAGTACTTGCCAACCGCCACAATCCGTGATATAGATGCGTGGCAAGTGACTACTTTACCATGGCGAGTTGGAGGCGTGGTTGCACTACTCGCCACAATTTTACTTACACACACCAGTTCTGTTGACACGTTGTCCAGCTGTGAAGCTGAAAACTCCCCAAGAATTTTGTGAAGGGATCACAATGGTATTCGGGGAGTGGACATCATGTGACCCTTCTATACCCCTACGCTCTGTGTTGGAATTTCCTGACCCTTTTGCCCGGCCTCCATTGTCTATGGTACCAAGTTCCTGGTTTTAGCAATAGATGAGAAATTGTAGATAGCGAGAAAGTTTGTGTTTGGTCATGTTTCGGAATGCAAAGTGGGACAGAACTAGATAATATGGCTAAAACTGGCGCTCAGAAACAGAGAAAAAAAAAGAAGAAAAAAAAAAGGACGATTCTCCACAAACGGGCAGAAGAAAGTCGGGAACTTGCCACACTCTGCAGTGGATGAAAAAAAGGACCTCCTAAAAAGTTCTGACAGGTTTTCCTCCTGCCAAGTTCAGCAAGTAATTGCAAGCATGCACTTACTTGCCGAACTTGACAGATGGAAGCTAATTTCTTCACCCGAATACAATGCACAGTCATTATTGCTGTATTTAGACTGAAATATACCCCAAATACAGTTACGATGACTGTACGTTGTATTCGGGTGAACAAGGTAGGCCTTAAGTGAGAAAATGGCCCCAGGGCCTGCGCAAGTCAAGATTCCAACACACCCTCATCATGACTGCATCATACGTGGAAAGATAGCTTCTACACATTCGCGATCAGGGTGCACTGTGTTTAGGGGGCGAAGAGTGGAAGACAGAGGGAAACTTGTTAAGTTGCTGTAGCAGAGATCAGAATGAAAAGAGCTTGTATGTATTTATTTTCGTTTTCTTGTGTTCTACTTTTAAATTTTAATTACCTTCCA